ACCTGACCTACCTCATCCTAATCTGACTTGACCTAACCTACCTCATCCTTATATGACCTGACCTACCTCATCCTAGTCTGACCTGACCTACCTCATCCTAATCTGACTTGACCTAACCTACCTCATCCTTATATGACCTGACCTACCACAGTCTAATATAACCTTACCTAACCTAATTCATCCTAATCTGACTTAGCTTAACTTAACTCATTATAATCTAATCTACCTCATCCTTATTTGACATGACTTAACCTAACTCGGCTGAATATGATCTAACCATATTTAATCTAACCTTCCACATTTTCTGTGAAATTGCTGACACATTACTCAATCCTGTGTAGCAGATATAATGTCTTTATGGTATGTTACAAAACGGAGAAAAAAAATAAAGTCAGATTGAAATGGTTTCTTGTTGACATTACCCTGTTTCCTATGACTAGATGACATGTCTATACCTAACTCTTAGAACCTTCGCCTCTAACTCTAGACAGACACACTAATAAAGATTATGAATCCTTTTATGGGAGCTGGACTAGGAAATCATAAACATTTAAATAACTTAATCGAAAGTGTCGCTAGGTACTTAAGAGATTCAGGGCTCGGGCCCATAGGCACAGGAGTTTTCGGCATTTCAATATGATATCGATCATGGTTTTCTGTTCTGATTTTTCAAAACACTAACTGGGGATTTAGGGCACTATCAAATAGGATTGGGGTACAGGCCCCGTGTTCCATTGCCCAGAGACTACTTATCATTTACACTGATTTGTCAAGTTCAAGGAACTATACTTTGTATGGCATTGTTTATCATGATAATTAGATTAAATGTTACAGTTATGTAATCAAAACGTTCGGTATTTAAAAAAAAACGTAAAAATTAGTGCTGATATCTGTTTCTTTAGAAGTTTTACATAAATCTTATAAAAAAAATAATCAAAAACGGAACCATAAAGAAAATCGCGATTGCTGTACGGAATTTAGGTTTTGTTTATAGGCATTTTTCTATTTTAGGTAAATTAAAAAAAAACAATCTTAGAAATTGGTGCTGTTATTTCCTAATACATGCTTTTCCAAAATGACTTGCACTCTGATAGTTTAACATTCTCAAGTTACAATAACAGTAGTAGGATTTTGTTTTATAAATATCACTCCAAAGACTAATATTACATAACAGGTGTTTGCTCATAATGAGATTGTACAAAATATTTTATCAATAAAATTCGTTTTGAATGTTTGTGGGAATAAATTAATCTGTCTTGGATACGTTTAAGGAAGTTATTAGTTTCAAAGATTATGTGTGATTTGTTTAAACACTATTTTTTAAACCATTAAAGGTTTTGTGGTATCAAGTTTGGGTTATGTAAAGCGGAAAAAAAAAAAGATTTTAATGTATTCATAACTTGAGAAAAACTTAAGACTTGGGACAATGTTTTGTTTCTATTAAATAAAAAAAGGGTAATTTCTTCTTGGCAGGTCCCTAACATTTCTGCCAGAGCCTGTTAAAACTCTAGCGGAAATCCAGAAAGAAGAGGAGCAAAATCTTGCGATGGAAAAAGAAAATTGTGGACAAGATGTAAAAGAATACGTAAGTCATGATTTTAACACTGCTGATACGAGGTGTGTTAATGAAACTTTGATATTACTTCTGTCAATACACAGGTTGGGTCAACACCCCCAGGAATAGAAAACAGATTTTTCTTTGTGATACAGCTTCTGTCAATACACAGGGTGGGTCAACACCCCCAGGAATAGAAAACAGACTTTTCTTTGTGATACAGCTTCTGTCGATACACAGGGTGGGTCTACACCCCCAGGAATAGAAAACAGACTTTTCTTTGTGATACAGCTTCTGTCGATACACAGGGTGTGTCAACACCCCCAGGAATAGAAAACAGACTTTTCTTTGTGATACAGCTTCTGTCGATACACAGGGTGTGTCAACACCCCCAGGAATAGAAAACA